GCCTTTCTGGAAGAAGGATTCTTCAAATAAACTTGGCAGATTCGAGGGATGGGTTATGTGAGAGAATTTTTACGCATATGTTACAGAACTTTCAAACTCATCCATACAAAAACCTCGTAAATTCGATTGTATATCTGCGAGGGGATTATTTGTAGCTGTTGTTGAGATATAAATATATGATATCATCACGGATGTATTTTTAGTCTCTCATTTGGATGTATACAACTTCTGAGTCAATAAAGGACACTTGCAGGACAAACACAGTATTTGTATCTGCAAGGCACATAAAGTAATAAGAGTATCATCTATGTATATTGTAGAGAGATTAAGCTTCACTGTTGTTGTTCTCTCTCTTGTTCAGTTCTGCGATCTCCTTCTTCTTTGTTTTGTGCAGGGAGTAGAAGTAAGAAGCTAGGGCCAAGACTGCCCCTAGCAAAGCACCTCTTCTCTGCCAACCAAAGTCGTCGTCCATGAAATCAAAAGCCAACACAACAAGCAGAGCCACAACAGGTGAAGCACACATATGAACAACATCAGTGAATAAACCGGACACCAAAAGCACCAGACCTAACAGCCCGACCGCCCAAACCTGCCAAGAGAGAGCCAACCCGACCAAACTCAGAATGTAGTAAGTTTTCCCTTTCTTAAACCTCTCACTGTCACCTTTTAACTCCTTAAACTCACCACTCGCAAACAGACCCACAGTGCAAACGAGTGTGGCGATGAAGGAAACACAGATTTGCATCTCCAAGACCATCCGAAACACCTTCTTGTTACCATACCTCTTTGTCTTCACCAACACTTTTTCGAACCCGAGCTGCATTAGGCACAGAGACAAGGAGAAAGCAAGAGTAGGGAATATGAGTATCAACCATGCCTTGATGTCGTAAGCATCAGTTTCATCTTCATCAGGGGTTCCAGCAAACGCAGGGCTGCCAAAAAAGTCGGCCGCAAGAGTGAAGATTATCGATATGATGATCCATCTGTTAAACTTGAGACGGTTAATGAAAGCTGAGAAGAGGGAGGTGAGTATCAATTGAGTTGATACCAAAATCCCCCATCCTACGTATAATTTCGCTAGCGCATATAACTTGCTATAAACAGAGACAAGAACACCGAGAGAAACGTATAGCGGGAGAACTCGAAACCAGCCGTTGTTGGTTTGATTGGAGACTGTTTCCAGGTTCGGTGAAGAAAATTTGAAAAAGAATGGAATCAAGATTGGAAAGGCGGCGTTTTGGATCAGAGCTTGTGTCCATGTTCCTTTGTATTGTCGGTCCTGATCACTCTCTGATCGATTATCTTGGACGTAGAAGAAGTTCAACAGAAGCATGACAAGAGAATCTCCCGTAAAGATCATGAAACCGCAGAAGAAAACAGAGATCCACCATTTGCGCTGATTGAGCTCCAGGGATCGAGAATTCTCGCTCATCATCTGGCTGCGTGGTTCTGGACCTTGAAACTCTTCCATGAGTCTGTCTCTCTTTCTTCTTCTTCTTCTTGGATTTTCCAAATACGGATATAAAGTAATCTTTTAAGTTATATAAACCCTAAAGGCTGGAACTCATTCTCATGATTGTTTAACGTGCAAACACACATTTTAATCTGGAAAGATAAAGAAGAGACGAAGTCTTGGTCACGAAATGGTCATGCTTTTGACTCGAGCGTTGCTTGATTAGGGCCTCATCACATTTTTCTAATGAATAAACTATCTGTAAGATTGGTTATTATATGATATCAAAGAGCATATTTGGCGGCAAAGGAGGCTACAAAGACAGCTAACGGGTTAAAGTCGGTCCAACCGTATAACCGACTTAAACCGGAACTGAACCAAAAAATTACCGACATCTTGGAGATCAAAAGACTTAAAACCAAAAGACGTGTGAAGGGTCAACACGTGGCGTGAAAGGGGCAAACTCGTGTGAATCGAACGAAGCAGTGGAACAGTAGCTTGATAAAGAGGACAGAAACCTGAAAGCTTCCTCCTGAAGGAAATTAGAAAGCTTGAGAGATGGCGACGAAGACTGTTTGGATCATACTGTTGTGTCTATTTGTTGTTTCACAGGCGGATCAGGGTTTCGATGTTCGTCATCACCTCTCCACCGTCACCAGGTTCTTCTTTCTCAATCCTTCTTATAGCGTGGTCCCGAGGAAATTGAATCAGGAACAACACTTTATCATCTGGGTCCAAATTTTGTTAACCTAACTGGTCGGATTGTTGTCGTTTGCTTGACAACATTGACACCACTTTTTCAAAAAGGGTGGAAATTTGTGTAGTTTTTCTTTAGTTAGTTATAATTTTTTTTTTGGGGGAATTTGAATTTGGTGTGCAGATACTCTGTTTCGAAAGATGTTACCCAAAATTTGATTGAAGGGTCGAATGTTCCCAGTGAGTGTACACCTATCCACCTTAACCTTGTGGTAAGCAGAATTTATTTGGGTTAAATGTGGTGGCAATGAGGGAGAATGAAGACTGAAATAGTGGTTTTTGACATGTTAGGCTAGGCATGGAACTCGTTCTCCGACCAAGAAACGGTTGCGGGAATTGGAGAATTTGGCTGGTAGGTTAAAGGAATTGGTAAGAGATGCAGAAGCTAGGAAATTGCCTTCAGACAAAATTCCTGGATGGTTAGGACAATGGAAATCTCCCTGGGAAGGAAAAGTGAAAGGCGGGGAGCTGATCAGGCAAGGGGAGGACGAGTTGTACCAACTGGGAATCCGGGTTCGGGAACGGTTTCCTAGTTTGTTTGAAGAGGATTACCACCCTGATGTCTATACAATAAGAGCTACGCAGGTTGGTGCCTTTTGAACTTTTTATGTTTCTGTTTCTGCTCAGCAAAACTTGATAATGTGAACACTAGAATTTGGTTGCAAGTATTGGTGGAGGACATTCCTGAATTGTTTAAATCTTTTGATAGATTCCTCGGGCTTCTGCAAGTGCTGTAGCATTTGGAATGGGGTTATTCAGTGAGAAAGGAAATCTGGGACCAGGCCGTAATAGAGCATTCGCTGTCACTAGTGAAAACCGTGCAAGTGATACAAAGTTGAGATTTTTTGAATGTTGTCAAAACTACAAGGTATAGTTGTGATTGAATGAATCTAAATATTTTTTTATTGTAGGCTCATCCTCGATCAGTTTATTCGATTCTGAGTTTTTCTTTTCTTTACATGGTCTATGATTGCAGAGCTATAGAAAAGCTAAAGAGCCTGCTGTGGATAAGCTCAAGGAACCTGTTCTGAATAAGATTACAGCTTCCGTTGCAAAGAGATATGATTTAAAATTTACAAAACAGGACATTTCTTCTCTCTGGTTTCTGTGCAAGCAGGTGCTTCTTTCTTGCATCTCGTTTTAAATTTCTTAATAGTTTACGCACCTTTCCTGGACGCTACAACACCTACTTCTCATCATGAATCAATTATAATACTATAGTTGTTTCGAAATCTACAGGAAGCATCATTGCTTAATATAACTAATCAAAGTTGTGAACTTTTCACGCCATCAGAGGTACAAGTTTCTGTTTATATATGTCTATGTGCGCTTTAAACATCCTTAAGCTTGTGGATTTTATTCTATAATGCTAGTTATGTGTAACACAATCATCTGTAGGTTGCTTTACTGGAATGGACAGATGACTTGGAAGTGTTTCTCCTCAAAGGTTATGGCAATTCCTTAAACTACAAAATGGGAGTTCCACTACTAGAAGATGTTTTGCATTCAATGGAAGAAGCTATCAAGGCCCGGGAAGGTAATCTAAAACTTTAAACCAGGAAAAAAGGAACGATTTCCTTGTCATCGTAGTCAGCAGATCTAATTATTTGTCCTATTCAATTATCATGCAGAAAAGCTCCCACCTGGAAGTTACGAAAAAGCAAGGCTTAGGTTTGCACATGCAGAAACAATAGTTCCCTTTTCTTGTCTTCTTGGGCTTTTCCTTGATGGATCTGGTTAGTCTATCAATATTCACATCTCTCATATTTCCCCACTTGCGTTTGTTGTGAAACATATAATTTCATCTCAGTGCTTGTTCTTAAAAGAGGTTTTAAATGTCCTACAGAGTTTGAGAGAATACAGAAGGAGAAACCTTTGGAACTCCCTCCACAGCCTCCCAAAACCAGGGATTTTAGAGGCAGCACCATGGCTCCTTTTGGTGGGAACAACATTCTTGTCCTATACAGTTGTCCCGCAGAATCCTCTCCCAAATACTTCGTTCAGGTTCTGCACAATGAGCATCCTATTGCAGTTCCAGTAAGTTCCATCCAACTACTAAACGCAAACTTAATCTCAGCTCTATCATAGTGGCCAAATTGAACTTGAGACATAACTCTAGAATTTTAAGAAATGAATTGACTAACTTTTCTGTTTTGCACTTCTTCCATTTCCTAATATCTCCTTACAAATTTCAGGGTTGTGATGGAAAAGATTTCTGTTCTCTTGAAGATTTTAAGGTATTTTGCATCTTTCCCTCTGAATATTCCTACCAGTATATATATTTTCATCCTATACCTACCCTTGCATGAACCTCTTTTGTCTTTTTTTTTTTTTTACAGGCCAAAGTGGTAACCCCTCATCTAAAGCATGCTTTTGACAACCTCTGCAATGCTGATCTAAATGACCTGAAACAGAAGCCTGCATCAAGTAAGTTATCTATACTGTCAAGTTGGCTGTTTGGGTCAAGCCAGGATACCGAGCTCTAGTTACTACACAGCTCTTCTTACATACTGGCTGAGTACTGTTTGAACCTGAAATCACACAGAGCATTGTTGTCTGTTTTTTTTGTCCCCTTGCCACAGTTGTTTTTAGTTAGTTTCAATCCGCTAATCTGAAATATTTTGATTTTGATCTCTGAATCTATTTCCATACTTGCTTGGTAGAAACCAAAAGCTTCAAATTAGAGATCTTTTACATCGATCAGTTTAAGGACTTGTAGTCTTCACTCTATGTTTGGTTCCAAGTCCTCTTGGACTAAAATTTGCGGTAAACTTTTGATATAAAGTACCTATCGAGAAAAAAAATCTGTATATCTCTATCTGTATATTAATCACCAACTTTATAAGGAAAACTGAATACAACTCTATGATTTAGTAATATAATTGATGGAATCAGGATATTCAAGACGAATATAATCATACATGAGTCCTTGAAAAGGACTCGTGGCGAGCGGTTGAGTTAGATATATGGTGTTATTTCCCAGGTGAAGAGAAGCAGCAGGCACATTCACATTGTATAACCAATATAGTCCATGAATACCATGCCTTGCGATTGTATTATCCCTTCCTATTTGCCCTGTCGTAAACAATGGAGGATCTGCAGAAAGATCATTCACCCGAACCTGCAAAAAGATTACCAAAGGATCAAATGAAAGTGATCACTTTCATAGAGAAAAAAAAGCGTCCATGCAACTTGAGATTCACACCTGCAATTCTGCTACATTTGATGTTGCTAGAGCGATTCGCAGTTTGAAGTTTCCGGTTAAGTTTTTCATTTTATCGTCGAATTGAAATCTGATCTGCCATGTTGTACCGTTATATCCACCATTTGCGTGCTTCCTACAAATTCAATGTTTCATACTTGAACAATGTTTCATAGTGGTAGTGTTTTGAATATAAATAGTAACAAACTAACCTTGTAACTTGCATGAAGAACCATTTCTTAGAGTAATCATCAGCATCAACATTGTAGACCATATCTTCATCGGGGTACAATTCTGAATATCGTTCCCACAATCCATATTGTCGGAATTTATCAGAATGGTTTAAGTATAGTTTGTTTACAAAGCTTGGATTCGGGTCAGGAATGTAGAACTCTGCAGCGCTTCGGTCTGGTACACCGATTTCCCATAGAGTTGAACCGTCTCTAGGAGGTTCATACACCAAGTCTCCTAGGCTAATCTTTGAGCCTGTTTCCAATATTTCACTCTTTCTTAGTATTTTATATATATATAAAATAGTGTCGTTGTGGTATTAGAAGTGTTCGAACCTGGAGAAATGTCAAAAACAGTGTCGTTGTGGTAATCACCGATGAATCCCGGAGCAAATGCATAGAGATGATAACGACCACTTCTCACATTATTGATAGAAAAATATCCATTTTCGTCTGCTTTAGACCAGAATTGATAACCCTGTCAACGTAATTAAGACCAAAACTTATGACTAATAAAATTGTTAATCAACAAGAAAGAGAATGAGTATATGGATAGACTAAGGAAATTACTTTGCATTCTCTTTGCCATGAGCCAACATCTCCTGGTGCAGCCAAGCCCACATAGGAACCATTTGCAGGTATATCCTCACTACTTATGAATCTGTCTCAAAAACAAACTACCACTTAGGAATCTGTTATGTCAAAAACGACGTAGATTCAAGAGCTAATGAAGCAAGTAGTGTACCTGTCTCTTACGACTAATCTACCGCTAACAGATCCTCTTTGGTCAGATTCAGGAAAATCATCTGAAGCGGTGAAGTTATAAGGCCACTTCTCTTCTTCAATCTTTGTCTGAAACAACAACCAACTCTATTGCTCAGCTCTTTTGTTCTTACATATGCACATGAACATGTGTGTAGATGTGTGACTGACCTGGTTCTTGGCTTCATGCCAGAGCAAGAGAGGATCAACTCCTTTAGGAAAAGAGTTGAGATAAATAAAGACAGGTCCAAACACTTTCTTCCATGCTTCACCGTTTTTAAAACTCATGATTAGTTCTGCTCCAACATAGTGAGTACTGTGAAATATCTGTTTTCATTTCACACACATCAATGATCATTCATCTTCTATCCAAACTAAGAAATGATATATGTCGAAACCTATCACTCACCGCAAGGTTGGTTGGACCGACATGGGAGCCTAGGAATTGCTTCAGAGGGCCAGCAGATCGGAACTCGTTGCTTGGAGTGATTTGCCAAAACCCAACTGAATCATTTGTGCTTATCCATCCATGAACTTTTATGTCTTTACTCTCCATTGAGTACTCATACTTGTCATCCACCTATAAGATGTATAGACTTTAATACTCTGTTTCCTCTGTTTTTATTCCTCTGTTTTTCAAGCTGAAATGGATGGCTTAGATGTTTTCTATAAAGAATTAAAATTTTACCTCTCCTTTAAACTCGGGCTCAATAGGGTCGAGAAGTTGAACTGCCTCAGGATAAGCAAGAGGTTGACCACGAGGCGGAATCCGATCATCTGGCAAAGGCATGTACCTTTGCCTGTCATCTGAAATCGCCATGTAATGAAACTTGTCCTTGTTTAGCTTAAATACTAATCGCATATTATCGAGTTCAACAGCAGGCCATCCTTGTAACCGCTCGAAGATGGCGTAACTGTAGAATCCCGAGGAGTTCCGCAGCATTACAAACCTGAAATCAACTCAAATACCATCAATATAGATCCCAAAACACTAAAGCTTTTATCTAGTTACTAACTTGACTACCTCTTGTCTATATTCACTGGAACAGCCGTCGTTGAAGACGTATTCCATGTTCTTGTAAACGATAGCTCTATCTGTTCATCGTTCTGCGTAATCACTTCCATCTTTGTTGCTTCAATCCTGTAAAGTAATCCAAGTATGTCTCACATCACATTGGGGCATGTATAATTAAACATAGAGACAATCATTTACCGGTCTAGCGTGCCTTTGGTCTTTTTAGCTTTTTTGCCAGGAAAGTTCCACACTAAGTCCCAGTAACTGCAGAAATCAGATCAGTTAGTGTTTAAACACTCGCAAGAGCAGTTAGTACATAAACATATACAGACTTACCCTCTATCATATTCTTTGCCCGTGTACGCGAGCACATTTTCGATACCATTGTACCGGATTCCCGTGACAAATCCCTCAGGATTTGATAAAGTTAATTGAAAAATTCCATTCTCCACTACCACCTGCAATCATCGCATCATTTAGGGTTTCTAAAACGATTCACGTGACTTGCACATCAAGAAAGCCACATATTATGGCGTAACGGTTTTGTTATTTTTCAAAGAGGTCTATTTAATTGTTAATGAAAAGCTAATTAAGAATGTTGATTAGCCAAAAAAAAAAAACGTATAGAGACGACGTACATGTTGATCTTGGTAATGTAGCTGCAAGACTTGTGTTGATTCTGGCTCAGGGGTTTGGTTTTGGCAGAATGCAATTTCAAACACAGAAATGAACATGATCAAAGCAATAATCCATCCTCTCCGCTTCAATAAGTGTCTCCGATAATCTATATGTCACCAAACAAGCATACACACATACGATATCGTTTTGTTAGGAGTTAGGTTCTTATCATGTAGTATATATATTTATAAATATTAGAATTTAAAAACAAAATTGTAATGATGTTTCTTCTCTGATGCGTACCTTTGGTCGTCACGAGCTTGAACACATGTGAAGAGAACAGAAACATGATTAAATCAGCGGATTTGTCTTGAGGCTTTCTCGAAATCTGTCCACAAGTAAGAAAGAAAGAAGAGTCGTTGTTATATGTTATGACAACATAAAATCATTTATATAGGTTTTCTACTAATAATTAAGAATCTATTACTCATACAAAAACTTTGAAGTGGGACAATGACAAGAGACAAAAAGTAAAACATAAGAACATGTGAACTGATAAACAGAAACATAAATAAATAAAAAAAGGGCAAAAAAAAGGAGAGAAGCAAGTTAAGTGCTTTAGGCAACATCTAAAGTTTTCTTCTGCTATAAACAAAGAATTCCTTTTTTCTTATGGTAAAATACCTTTTTGGCGTCTTATGTATATGCATTATATAATAAAGAATGGAAATTGAACAAATTAATTCATCAAGAGATATTACAATTCCCGCGTAGAGGCATGAAACAAAACTCGTTCTAGGGGTAAGTAGATTCTCGAAGCGAAAAGTATATAAACCTAGACATAAGCGGAGAATTTTAATAACCTAGACATAAGCATATTTATGATATAGAATATTTAAAAAAAAAAAATTCGGCTACTTATGTTGTAACTCATACAATAATACATGCATGAAAAGTATCACGTGCGACGATTCGAACAAAGCAACCACTCCCAATAATCCTTCTAGTATTTTCTTTCCCCCAACAATGTTTAGCCTACTGGGTAGATTTCTAAGGAAACTATGTACCTAACCATCATAACATCCAATTTACCTGAAAGTTGTTCGGCTTCTTGAAAGTGACACCACTTAATATTTCATTGTATTCTCTATTCTCTAATAGTTTTTGGTGTAGATGTAAAAATATGCACACGATCAGGAGAGGGAATATAACGAATGCTGATGCTTGAAGCAAAAAAGTTGTAGGCGGCTGCTTGGGTGGTTGATTGGAGTTAGGGAAAGCACAAACATACATTCATATAAAAATACATACATATAGAAGAGATATATGAAGACTTTTAACAGAGGTTGTTCACCAAATGCTTACCCAAATCTTTTCCAACGAACTCTTTTCACAGGTTTAATTATTCTTTTATCTAACAGAAAAAAAGAGAGAGTATTTTTCGATGAGAAAATCAAAATGGATGAGTAAACTAAATACCAAAAACGAACCATAATGTCACTAACCATTCAATAGTTGATCTGGAGTCTGGATTCTTGACAATACAGCCAGAAAAAAAAAGATATTTTGAAAAACACAACAATGAGATGATTCTCAATTGAAGAGAAACTTAATTTATAAATTAACTTAGTCGCAAATAAGTCAACTATAGTATTAAGTTTAATAATTTATTAGATCATGATCATTCATTTGAACCCTCTGGATAATCTTCCATTCAAAACTGATTTATTTCTTTAAAGAAATTGCCTAAAAATAATTCAGCAATACATGAATAACAAAAAGAAGTCTAGAACAAAATCATTTACTATTATTAAAACTGGAAAGTCAAGATTTGTGCCTTATATTTTATGTGTTACATCAAAATTTCTATGTATCTGAAATTTCTCCTAATCTTTTCCCTTTCTATAAGATTTACAAAATTGAATGACAAAATAGAGTCAAAGACTTTTTTTAGTAGTCAACAAAAGTATATACAAGAAATATTTCGTACCATTTATGTCACTATAATTCATTTCTAAAATAAATTATGAAAATATTTACATGGCTTAAAAAAATTAATTTATCGGAATTACTTAGATATTTTTTGGTTAATTTTTTTTTTTTTTTCACGTGTGACTTGTGAAATAACATCCATTTCGCTTTATATAGTTGTCTACACCCAAATGCTGTTTAAGTAAGATACTAGAGAACAAGGATCGTTGAAATTGAAACGTCATATAATCGGAAATGGAAGAGATTGAAATATGTAAACAAAGAATCGAATCAAGCAACACACATGTTAAATCAAATTTGGTTATACTTTCTGAAAGAATGATGCAAGAAAATTTGATTAGCTGGGTGCTTCGAATCGGATGTAATCATACATGATCCCTTGGAAAGGACTTGTTGACCTTGGCTGTGTGAGAAACAATGTATTCTCGCCTTCTACAAGCTTAGATCCAGCCACTTCCACATTGAACAACCAGTACAATCCATGTATTCCATGTCTCGCTATCGAGTTATCTCTCCCGATCAATCCGCTCGTGAACAACGGGCTTGCATTCGCATCGTTCACACGTATCTTCATCCCCAAGTTTTGAGTCAAGATTCATTTAATTTCGTCAGATTGTCTCTTTCTTTATGTTCTAATGAACAAAAAGGTCATGGATTGATAAATATACACCTACTTGGAGTTCGGAAAAAGTAGCGGATGCGATGGCTACACGTAAAGTATAGGAGTGATTCTTATCAATGTTTTTGAGTTCGAATTTGATTTGCCATGTTGTTCCTTGATATGTTTTGCTATCCTTTTTTCTATGAAACGAAAATGTAACAATGTGGTTAGAGAAGAGCTTAAATTCAAGAAATGGAAATCATCATGGCGGAGATGATGAGAAACACCTAGTGACTTGAGCGTAAAACCAGTCTTTTCTATAGTCGCTAGAGCCAACTACGTATACCAAGTCTTTATCTGGATAAAGTTCTGCATATCTTTCCCATAAGCCATATTGTCGGAATCTGCAAGAGGTTAAGAAATTCGAAATCATAAAAAGGTGCATTTTCGTTATATAAGGAATTGCATTTCAGTTCATTCCAATGTTTATTTGTATCAAGCAATTTAGTTTCTCTTTATACGTACAATGTAACAAGATTTGTATGTGTATATATGTCAAAACCTGTCAGGGTGATTTTGATAAAGTTTGTTGATATATTTTGGATTCGGATCGGGAACATAAAAATCCGCGGCAGATCGATCTGGAAAGCCGATCTCCCATAACGTTGCTCCATTTCTTGGAGGTTGGTATACAAGATCTTCCACATATATATAACAACCTGCACATACAGTGAATTATTAACTACAGCATTGCACTGGGCTCAATTGTAGCAAACAAATGTTTTGGGGAGCTAATAGAAAGCAAGATAAAAAAAATATGAGGACCTGAGGTGATGGTGATTATATCATCATACTTATAGTCGCCAAGAAAACCAGGAATCCATGCATAGAGATTATATTGGCCTGGCCGTATTCCACTTATGTAAAAGAATCCTTCTTCATCTGTTCTTGTCCAAAATTGATACTCCTGCAAGAAAAGAATAAAATGAAATGTCATGGAAAATTTTATTTTTGAGTTGAAAACAGTTCCATGTCTCTCCTTTTATTGGATTTCTATCAATTTCAAAATCACCTTGCATTCTCTTTGCCATGAGCCAGCAGCTCCAGGCACAGCCAAACCAACATAACCTCTATTGGCTGCAATGAAATCTTTATCTACATACCTTAAAATCATAAATTAATGTATACTTTTAGATTATGTGAAGCGTATAGTGGAATTTGTTTTTTATCAGTTGACCATCACTTAGTGATTAATTAGTGTTAACAACCACACAAAGTATGAAATGTTTGTGGTAATTATGTACTAACATTATAATCAACGAGGCTCACTTAGTAGTTTACCTGTCTTGAACGAGGAGTCTACCAACAACATTACCACGTTGCTCTGCTTTCACATAATCATCCGAAGCTGGAAAACTGTACGGCCAGCTCTCTGCTTCCACATTCATCTGAGAAAGTAAAATGTATCAAAATTTGAAAATGAAGGTACTAATGTTTGATATGTTCATCTAACTATACAAATCAAGATTTAAAGATGAACCTGAGATTTAGCATCTTGCCAGAGCCAAAGAGGGTCATTATCATCATCAGTAGACGAGTTTAAATAGACGAAAACCGGTCCAAACACTTTCTTCCATGCCTCTCCTTCACTAAACTTGGGCACTAGATCTTCCCCTGTGTAGTGTGCACTCACAAATACCTGAAGATCCGGCGTTAAACTTGTCAACATTTATACCTATTGTTAAGGAAAACATTTATATTATCTATATGGACTTACAGCAAGAGCTGTCGGTCCAACGTGAGATGTCAAGTTCTGTTTTTGGGGTCCACCGGTTCGATACTCATGGCTAGGAGTTATGAGCCAGAAACCAACTGATGGCTGCTCTGTGCATATCCATCCATGGACAGTAATGTCTTTGTTCTCACACGAATATTGGTATTTATCGTCAACCTAAAACTCGGTAAAAGCAAAGTTTACAACATTTTACACAAGAACTCAACTTCTCTATAGTAATCCTGAAAAGGAAGAAAAATGAATAACTTTTACCTCTCCTTTGAACTGAGGCTCTACAGGATTAACAAGTAGAACAGCTTCAGGGTAAGCCAGAGCTTGGCCTCTGTCCGGTAACCGGTCATCAGGCAATGGCATGAATCTCTGCCTATCATCCGTTACTGCCATGTAATGAAACCTGCAATCTCACTTAAAATTAATAAGTAAATGTCAAAGATATTTAGGAAGTGAAGGAGTGATTTTTGAATTTGCTTACTTCTCTTTTCTGAGTTTGAAGGCAATTCGGGTTTCGGCAAGTGAGAAAGCAGGCCATTCCTTTAAGTGCTCGTAGATGGCGTAAGTGTAGAATCCCGACGATCCACGAAGCATAACAAATCTATTTGGACAGTTCTTCAGGTCACAATATGAAAACATGGAATATGAAATTTATGCATTTTATTAAAAGACTTAGTACCTTTTGTCAATATTCAGAGGGACTGCTTTGCCTTCTTGTGATGGATCCCATTTTCTTGTGAAAGAAAGCTCAATCTGTTCTTCATTCTTCATTATTACCTCAAAGTTTGTTCCTTTGATTCTGTTTCCAAAAGAAAGTAGTAATTATGCATTACTTGCTTTGAACTTTATTGAATCTCTCTGACTCTCTCGGCTGCAATAAGTAAGATCGAATTCTATCTGAAAAATGTAACCTTTCGTCGGTTTTATGGGATCAAACTAGTGATTAATCCTAAGCTTACATAGAGAGAAACTTACACATCAAATCCACCAGCAGTTCCTGATCCTCCCCAAACGAGGTCCCAATACCTGAAGAGTACTTTTACTTTTTATATCGAAATGAAAACGTTTGGCACAAAACTTGTGAAATTAAACCAGAGAAACAGAGAGATGTATGCAATAACTGGACTATGTTTAGGTTTG